TGACTCCCTGGATAGGATATATTAGGTCTCTCAGCAGTTGGCTAGTCAGACCCCTCTCCATTGTTTACACTGGCCTTTACTGCGTAAGCTGGAAACACAAACATCTGCTTATAACTCGTCCTTAATTCGCCTGCACTGCAGAGCAAATGGTCTTAACCCATGGACATTGACGCTGGGCAGTAGGGTAAGGGTGATCCCCCTCAAATGTTTTAAAACATAGAATGAAGCCACTTATCCATGGACAAATTTGTAGTCAGGAAATGAGAAGCCTAGATTATGCTTCTTTCCTTTTTTTTACAGATATTTCAAGAAAATTCTACATTTCCTGCTATTTCTTGTGCAAGCAACTTATTAACGAACAGGCGTGCGTTTCAACCACAGAAATTGCTCGTCCATGCACACAAATGTAAAGAACAAAGAAGTTTACTCTGGGAAAAAAATCACGGGCAGTTGGTCAATTACTCGTGTCCAAAGTGACGGTCGATCTGCGAAATTAAGAGATGCATAACTGCCACAACTCCACAACTGCCTAAATCATTCGTCTGAGACAAGTGCTAAAAATCCGGATGACCATTATGACAATGACGACTCTATTTTTTGCCAATCTGCCGAAGCAGAGGCATCATGTGCAGTCGCCACCGCACTTAATTAACTGTGCTCAGGTTGGTTCTTGGTAGTTATTTTGTACATCGCCACAACACCTCTACAGGATTTCCTCAGAGTCTATCCCAGACACAGATTCAGCAAGCGTATTGACTTGAGTAGTATCAGGTGTCTTGAGTTCTACAAAGCCTTTAAATGTAAGCATGTGTTGGATTACTATTGAGAAGCGTGCGGCTCCTAGGCGATGTCCACCCTCGGTCACCGCGACACTGCATCTCACTGCTGCTCACAACAAGCACATACTACTGATGGACCAAGGTCTTTGAGAAATTAGTGGCAAGTGTGGAGTGTGACAGCAGTGACGGCAGTGTTACTAAGCCACACAACTACCACAACCTGGACTGGCAGCCGAGAGTA